TCAAATCGATCCCAAAATCGAATAGTTTTCTGTTTCTGCACTTTATGTCAAAAGTTAAGGTAATGATTTGGCATAACAAAAACCTACTTTGTTACAAGTTTTTGTAACCGGCAAAACGGAAGCAAATAAAAGTAAAGTGGGAAATAAAATTTTTACGTTGTGCTCGCAAAATGTAATCTTAAGCTATGAATAGAGAATCACGAAGCTGTCGCTATAAAAATAATTTAGTATTTGCCTTATGCTTAGATTTAATTTTGCAACCTGTGTAAGAATTGTTTGATTAATATTGTACATCTTAATATTGTAATATTTCAAGACATGTTTATTTATACCTAAATTAGGCTTACATTGCTTGTAGGCTGAGATTTAAGCGACCAAAATGAATGATTATACATATAGAAACAAAAGATAAATGTAACCATAGTTACTTTTGAAAATCCTCGTGCTCGTTGCAAAAATAATAACCTTCGATGGGATTCAAATCTGCAACCACAGCCGGCGTTAAGGTAAGTTCGCGAGCCACCAGAAACTTGCTAATTAATAAGCGTTATCAATTCGAAAGGGTGTTAGTGTTAGCTTAATTATAATAACAAAATGACCATTTCTATCGGTGTTTTCAATAATCGTAAAGTCCAATCTACGCTGCTGTATAAATCTTATTGGTGGGACATACAGTCTTGTCGACAAAAAAGCCCTGTTGTATGCTATGGTGCTGAAAATGAGCCACCTTTTTATTCTCCTCCATATGTGCCTTTTGATTTTAATTTCATAAAGATTCGATTACATTATTTACAAAAAAAAATTTTTCATGGTCTAATTGTTGAATCTTTGCAAAAATTTGTCTGTAGTCTAGATATTGTAATGAATGAAAATATAATATTTTTGCTAAACTAAAAATAACATTTCTTGTAATTCTTAATTAGGACCAGTCCAAGCTATGTGCCAATTAATATGTCCGCACTTGATACAATTAAATGCACATCACAATCTTTTCGCCAATCTCCAAGTTAATAAAAATTAATTCCACTGATAATAACATTTTATTCAGTTTTATAATATTTCAACGAAGATTTTGATCTCAACGGCTGGAAGTTTTACTACTGGAGCAACTAACTTCTGAATTGTTAATTATTCGAGTTAAAAACACATTTAATTGTGGCAATTTAATTCTAAATAAAAATGCTTTTCTGTCTTTGGAGTCAATAGAAAGAGATTGATGCTTAAAAAGATCGATTTTAGACTTTTAAAAGTTGTATAGATGTTCTACACTGAACCGTCCCAGCATTGACAGGAGGCCATCACTGCAATCTATACTGAATGATTATTTCCAATTTTTGCCACATTGGACAACCATAATATAATTATGACATTTACAGAAGGGCGCTACTATCAATACTGGGTTGTTACTTTTGGATTTTTGCTACTTGACATTTCACAATCGTGAAACTTTAGAGTAGGCGCACACCGTTGATTTTTCGTCGGCCGATAGTTTAGTCGGGCAGTTGATCAGTATGGGCATGTATGGGAGTGCGCACACTACGCCGATTCGATTTGGCCGATTCTTCATACAATTTAAAATCGGGCACAACTATCGGCCAACTAAAAATCAACGGTGTGCGCCTACTCTTAACTGGAGTTTTCCGTGTGTCACGCCCGTGAGTGTCAAGCCTAAATGGTACCGTTTCCATTCGATGCGAACTTCTTTGTCCCTTTATCAGTCTTTTTATTCGCACATGTAAATGCATTTAGCTCCCACCTCCTTATCTCGCTGTACACCATTAATCTTGTATAACAATGTACCGGAGCGAGCGTCTGCGCTTCGACGGCTTAATCAAGACGGCAATATCACTGCCATCTTTTTATTTATAGAGATAAATTTTATCGCGAGCTATATCTATGTCACATCGAGATTGTGCTCATTATGATAGGGTAATGGCATAAATGGTGAGAACAGCCCTGTTGTTTATTTCGTGACGCCACTTTTTTGTTCAATGGTTGATATTTATTAAAGTTACTTCCTACAACACCGACTCTCTGGAATAAAAAAGAGCTCTATAAATAGGCAAAGCTTGAACTACAAGCATGAGTATGAGACGAATTTAAACAAACTTACGTAAAAACACACATTGTAATTCAAAAGTTACATGCTCATTTTTTTTTCTGAAGGCATACAACCTGCGGTCACTGCATTTCCCCTCTGAAAGTTCGGTACACAAACCATAATCTCGTCCTATATACAATGCATCAGTATTTTTCCATGTGAATCATCCGATTTTTGCGATTTTGCCTGTTTACAGTTCTGCAAATTGATATTTTTAACATAGAGTGATTTAAAGTTGAAACTGTCTCCATCAAATGCCCAAGACTGATCCACATTTAACAGAGTTAAAAAGCTTTTTGTAAAATCCTTAAGATCTTAAGATTCATTTCATGTCTTTTTAACGAAGTATAAAGTTATTTTACATACCATTTTCCTTTACTGTAAAGTAAACTTATGAGGTGTATGTTAAATTGTTTTTACATAAAGTGCATAAATTATGGAATTCTCTCAGTAGTAAAAACCGGTAGCAATAACTACAATCAGCATTATCATTTCGCACAATTCACGCGTTATCTCGCTAGGCGTGAGTAGAACTCGCTTCTTAATGTACAAGTTGAATTAAATTAAAATAACTAAATAAATGTTTTTCTTATTAACTTCATTTCAATGGCTTTTTATCACGATACGTATCTAGTTTCGGAATACATTAATGAAGGCAATGGAAACTTTTACTTTCAGCATTTTGATTGCCAGCTTTAGTCGTAGTAAATGTTTTTGAAATAATCACACCGATAACTTAGCCTAAAATTAACCGACTTATCTCCTTATTCCTTAACTTACTTTAGTAATTCACATACAAATATTACTCACACATAATTCAAGACTTTTGGTATATTAGGTGCTTATATACGAGGTGTGTTCAAAAAGTAAGGTGACTTTTCAAATTTCGCGGGCAACGTACTTTCGATTATCGATTTTTTTATTTTGTCATGTCGGTACACTCTTTCCGAACATCTGTACCAAGTTTCAAGTGTATAGCATTTTTTTTTTGGTTGTGAGAGGCGTAATGGTTATACGTGTTTTGCGTGCTCGGCGATTTTTTGCTATCGAAAAATATGGATCAAAGGATTTGCATCAAATTTTGCGTAAAAAAAATGAAATTTAGTGCTCCGAAACACTTGAAATGTTGACAGTGGCATACGGTGAAACTGTTCTGAGTAAAAAAAAATGTTTCAAACTCTTCCAAGATGGCCGGGAAGATGCCAATGACGAGCCTCGCTCTGGACGCCCAAGCACGTCAACAACTGATGAAAACGATCAAGCAGTGAAGAAAATTGTTTTGGAAAATCGTCGAATCACTATCAGAGAAGTTGCTGAGGATATCGGCATATCGCTTGGCTCGTGCCATGAATTTTTTTCTAACGTTTTGGAAAAACAATTCATGGCTTTTGCATCACGATAATGCCCCTGCTCATTCATCTTTGCTTGTGAGAGATTTTTTGGCTAAAAACAACACCACAATCATGCCTCAGCCACCATATTCACCGGATTTGGCCCCATGTGAATTTTTCTTGTTCCCAAAATTAAAGAGACCTATGAAAGGACGGAGATTTGCAACGATTGAGGAGATAAAGACTGCATCGCTGGAAGAGCTAAAGGCTATACCGAAAAGTGCGTATGAGAAGTGCTTTGAGGATTGGAAAAACCGTTTGCATAAGTGTATTGTATCTGAGGGGGATTACTTTGAAGGGGACAACATAAATATTGATAAATAAATAAATATTTTTTCTTAAAAATACAAAGTCACCTTACTTTTTGAACACACCTCGTATGTCACCGTAAAATTGAGAATTGTGTCAGATCATAATCTGACGTAGTTAAATTACAATCTAACCTAACCTAACCCACTGTTAGTTTACAATCTAACGCGTTATATTATAAACTGACAGAGTTCAAAATTTCACGTTGACATATATAAATCAATTTGCCCTCGACAGGTTTCAAATCTCAACCGCAAAGTTAAGTAATAGAAGCTTTCAATATCTCGCCTTACTAGATAGCCTATGTATTTCACATCCAAAAAAGTTCAATGATTACAATCATCAATAACTCTACGAATATACATACTCGTAGTAAAATAATCAAAGACTACGATTTTAATTTATGTAGGTAAGCTTATATACCAATATACCAATCTGGCCAAACCGTCGAATTCGCGTGGATTAAGGCCCACGCTGGATTCGACGGCAATGAGGAAGCAGATTCGGCAGCTAAGGCCGCTGGAAGACTGCAAAAAACACCTGACTTTCAAGCAGTACCCATCAGCCTCGTAAAACACCAAAACAGGCAAAAATGCAAAGAGTCAGCTGAAACTTTATATATGGACCCGAACACCTGTGTCCATACCCGATCTCTCCTGCCAACTTTTGACACCTTGCAGCAGTTCTTAAAGATCATACGGCCGGACTTTGCCATTACCCAATTGCTAACCAACCATGGTTACCACAAGGCATATCTAAACCGTTTCCATATCGTCGCAGATGACCGCTGTCCCTGCGACGACCAAACCCCGCAAACCTGGGAACACCTACTTACTCAGTGCCCTAGATTCACCACACAAAGATTCGCACACGAAACCACTTCCCGCTTGTTAAGAATTAACCCCTACAATCTCGAAGAAATTACCAGCAAAGAAGACACAACTAAAAGCTTTAAAGTCTACGTATCATACATTGTTAGCAGTCTAAAAGATTTTAACAAAACTTAAACAATCATACACTTATAACATCAATCACTGCCTTGCAATTGGAGTACTCCACTAGCTCCAATTGCAAGTGCATTCCAATAGCAATTACTTACAAAAAAAAAAAAAAAACATAAAAAGTATAGGTACGGGGAAAGAAATGACGAGACAGAACTTTAAAATAAATAATAATTTATTCAATAACTCATACTATTAACGAGCTTTATAAAAGCTAAAATATCTAAATTGTCTTCTTCATTTACAAAGTATGAAGACATTCAAATATTCAGTAGCATTACAATCTTCATTTACATAAATTCCACAGCCGTAGTAATCTTATTTACACATGTTTTGCATTTTAAATACTTTATACAAACGTAAGAGTATTGAGCGAAAACGCGATTGGTTTTAAACTATACACTGAATTGACTAGAATTTTTTGAATCCTAAAATACAATATAAAGGCTAACTTATTTGTGCTGCCACCATGAAATAGTGTCTAATAGGTCGTCGTCGTTTACAGCAGTGAACTGTTCGTTGATTGGATAATTATTTGCGATATAACCGTTGTTTGAATACACTGACACTCCTGAAGAACACTCCGAACCGACTGGCGAAGGCACTGAATCGGAGTAGGGAGAACTTCCACCGTAGACTCCTTCGTCTTCATAGCATAGGGATGTGTCCATTGGTGTGATGTGGACATTTGACTTTGGCACGCCCATAGCTCCGTCGCTTTCTTCCAACAAACTCTGCAGGTGTCTGATGTACTCCACGACCATGCGAAGAGTGTCAACTTTGCTCAGCTTCTTCCCCGAACCGCGTCGTGCTCCTCCAGATAAAGCAGCGATGACAGATGCCGGTAGCTTCTTCCTCAGCGCGTTGAAGCCGTCATTCACTTGTTTCACGCGGTTCCTTTCCCTGGCGTTTCTTCGGGCTATCGAAGCGGCTTGAGCCCCGACGTAAGGGTTGCTTTTGTAGTTGTACTTCTTCTTTTCAGGCTCCATATTGTATTTGGCTTCAGTAGCAGGCGCGATTGGTACAAGTCTTGGGACATCGGATTTGGTGTAGCTATGCATGTTGTAGCTGGATTTGTGGTGGATCCCTTGCAACATTTTGTTCGTAACTTTCGTAAGTTTAAGCGTTAGTGAGATTAGAAGGTGCGTCGTGCTCGGCAGCGATCTAATGAATGGTCGCTCCGGGCGCCCACGCCGCGTTATATGGGCCCACCTTTACCAAAAAAAACTTGATAGAACCCTCACTCCCTTAGATTTTTTTTTCTTGTTACCTGGCGTACCCGACCAAAAAGAAACGAGATAGTTGAACCTTCATACGCGTGCCAATGAATTTATTGAACACAATATTGTTTTGATATAAAATTTTTGTCTCAAACTTTTTAGCGGGGATCTATTTATAATTAGACATTACCTGAACATTGTTTTAGATGTTTTAAATACAATTCGTTTAACATGGTTGACGCAAAAGCTGACGGATTTTAGTAAATAGTTAAAAATAAATAAAAATTATTTATTTTCAGCAAAGCAGTCCATATTTTAGTTAAAGCTCACACAAATTTTCCATAACACAAAAGTAAACTGTAAAACAAAAGACAATTAATTTATAGAACTTTTGTAATTCTTTGTGATGCTCATAACATTGATTTCTCGAAATTAAACCCTTTTCTTACATAGACATTGACTACATTTATCAAATGAGACATTTATCAGTATACCTAACAATCAGCTGTTAAGCGCCTCCAAGAATCAGCTGTTGCACAATAGGTACCTTCCAACTTTCATTAGAAACAAGTTAACCGGACAAGTGGGGATCCTGTGGCGTCGTATAATACGCAATAGAACAATCGTAAATTTATTACGGTCAGTGAAATGCAAGTTAAACAACGAAACAAGCTTTGTGTTTACAGTAAGAAGACGCTGTGTCTAATAGAATACCTACAACCAACTCGCTTGAAAATATCGTCAATATAAACTAAGCTTCAAGCTCTAGTTTTTAAAGACTATTTTTGGGTAAAGTATCCAGAGTTTGAGAGAGCAGCGCGCGCGATGGGCGGCATTGCCTTCACTGAACGGCTGAAAAAATCTTACATTAATTTGGAACGAAGTGTCCAGTATTTTAAAGGGACTTGAATAGTGAAGTGCCCACTATTGTCACCCTTTGTAGTCTAAAAAGATTACACAAGGAATGTGGGCCAAGCCATTGAGCCCAAGAAGGATGAATTGTTTAGAAACCTTCAATCATCCCATTGAGGGGCGCCAAACGCGATTTTAATAGACTCCTCGTCGCCTCCGGGAAGCAATTCATATTTAATTTTGTCTCCATTGATTCTCTTTGCTTTACCTGCTCTGTATTGTATTGTTTACGGGGCAAAAACTGAGCTCTTGGTGCTAACGACAAAAACGGATCGAATTGCGAAATCAATCAGAATTTAGCCAGTAGACCTTTGAAGTTCTAAAAATAAAAAAATAAATTAGGAAAATAAAAAACGAAATTTGATTCACATTTCAATTAGATTATGATATTAAAACAATGTGTGATGTAAAACACAAAAATTATGTGTTTTTTATTTAGGGTAACTAGGTAAATTGCATATTTTATCTGCATACCTACTTACGAGTACAGTAAGGTATGCCTACAATTTGAAAATGTTTAGACACATACCTCAATATTAAAACTATCATAAATGCGAAATAATTCCCTCGAGCCGTATAACTTCTCACTCCCATATCATTGTCTCGATAAGAATATTGAACCCATCCATCATTTTAGTTCAAACCTCCTAGTTACAAGTAAATTCGCAAAACATAATGAAATTGTGGGAGTGATACGTCGAGGCACAAAGTGTATTGAACAATAGCTCCGCGGGCGTGCCCCATACTATAGTCGAATAACGTTTAGCCCACACCTTAGAAAATCGCAAAATGGAGACATCTCCCGAATACAATGGATCATGAAGGAGCGAACGGAACCATAACCAATAATTACAGTCTTTGTAACATGTATATTTGCGATTTTAAAACGAAACTAACAATGAAATGAAAGGAGCCATTGTGAAAATTGGAATGGAAATACTTTTTGATTGAGCATCTTTGAAACTTATTATGAATACAGATCAGGCTTTTTCTATGTACAGCAATTCTTTTTGCGATTCCCAATTATCCTGCTTTCGCCTCCGAGATTTATTTTACCATGTAGTACCCCTGTACGACAACCCAATCCGCACACAATATTCAGCGTAGTAGTATTAAAAAACAAAAGAGCGGGCAACCCCACCCCTACCACGCTGTGGGCTCGGTGTCCGAGCGGTCTCATTCCTTTGTGCGCACGCGCAACGACCGCACGCAGTATAAGAAAAATGCTTAAGTGACGTCACCAGGACGTTTTTACCGACAAAAAACGTAATTATTTTAAGTTGTGCAGTGTAGTGACGAGAATTAGACCCAACAAAAGGTTGGTTGTAACAACTATTTTGTGCAAGTGCTCGTACATTTTTATTATAAGCGTTGTGACACGACGCGTAACTTTGACCCATTTTTAGCTCCAAGTTAACGCGCGATGTTAACCAGTAGCCATTTTTTTGCTCCGAGGTAATGCGAGATGTTACCCAGTAGCCATTCTTTTGCTCCGAGGTAATGCGAGATGTTACCCAGTAGCCATTTTTAAATCTCTTCGGCGAAAACAGGATAATTTAGATCGAACTTCACTTGGTAAGTTCGTTTGATCATTCAAAAATCTATCAAACTTTTTGTTTGTAAGAATCTGAAGTAATAAGTGAAAATAACAATAAACCTTGTGAAAGCTCATTTAATTAATAATAATATTGCACCTCACTACCTTGCGTTATTGACAAGCAACAAGACGCGCAAAAATAAACGCGTCCCATCCTTAACTTGTAAAATTAATGGTCTGTTATCCGTATTTGTTCGTCGTACCGATCGAATCTGCATATAAGTGGGCAGCGCATTCGTAATAAACTCATTCGGAGCGTTATAGACAAGACGCGTTCTACTGACAGTTCCATTACTGGACAAGGTCTGGCTAATATTTATAAACGGTTCATCGCAGTATTCGCGATAGAGCCCGGTGGTCCATCCAACTGGAAAGGGCCTGATCGATAAAGTTGTAAGTTTAATTACTAAACTGGAATTGAGGCCTGTCTTAAAAGAGACCGCGCCACGCGCTCCTGTAAGACCATTTAGACCTAATTCGGTATATCGCCATTCTAGAACATGCGCTATTTTAATGCAAAATGCTGGATCGACATGCTGGTTTAAATTGGACTTCTAGTCGTCTTAGATGCTTGTAGTCATGGCATTTCTAATATTTAGATTATCAAAGTAGGTAACTTGTCAGGAGAAGTTCTATCTTTATCCTGCATTCGTTCAGTGGGACTTTAACAATTTCTATAAATTTCAGGGAAATTGCACGTTACTTAAAATGTTAAAAGGGTTGGCAAACCACTCAATCGAAATTTGAAATTTCGTGTTTTATCTCACGAACCTACTCATCTTTAATAAATAGTGTAAGTAAAGAAATATATTAATCTGAAGATGGCTGCACTACTGTTTCATGGAAGATAGAAACACATTTATGTAAAAGTTTTGCTTTTACATAGAAAGTGAGTAAAAGATGTCACTCAAATGAAGCCATCTCAATATACATCAATGGAAAGGGTCAGTGAAATGCGTAACCCGACAGATGCACAGCCTAGCGTTATGAAGGATTGTTTGCCGAGTGAAGAGTTTGGCACAAGCCATCACCGGCGCACCTTGCCGGCATGTGTGCAATCCTTTCGCATCTGCCGATCTTGCACTGATTTTTATTTATGAATAATATGACGAATTATGTCTGGCCCTTTATGTGAGCTAGCACCTTTCCGGATGCTATTCGACAGCGGATGTAACCTTTCCTATTAAACTTATATGTTGCCAATTCCGAAGACAAACGTTATTCAGTGACGACGCATTTCAATTGTTATTTTTAAATAATATATTATAAATGATCTGACTTTTCTTTCGCTCAATGGCGGCATTTTGAGTACTCACCAATATCAAACCACTGATATTCGTTTTCCTACTCGATTTGTTTTGATTTATTAGACTCTACATACATTTACGTACAATTTTTTTATGTGCTACCGAAGTCCTCGATTAAGACGTCCCGTTCTATTTGGGACACGTAACCATAAACCACTCAATGTTCTTGATTTTTTCAAACACTTGGCCCACATATTAAGGTCTCTGTCAATAGCGTGATCCTATCAATCGTCCACGGGAGATCTATTTAATATAGTTATACGCATGACAGTGCGCACAGAATGGCGCATTGTTGCGCAACCTCATGCCTCTTTGTGGTATTAGCGTTTTAGTGGCCATTTTCCATTGTACACTTGTTTTTAGTTACCCCACACGCGTCCCAAATCGGATTTAGCGAATTTTTTGTCGCCTATCTTGACTTCATGTGGGTCCCTACTAAAATACCTTTTAAAAGCAATTTAAAAGACTTTAAACGCGCCCAAACTCTCGTGTCCCACTGGGAAACGCAAATTCAAACTCAATTAAGAAACCATAAAATTAATTATCATACTAAAACGCTATTACGTCTAGTCATGTGGAGTAAACACAGAACGGCGACGACTTAATTATTAATTAGGCGTTTAACGTAACTTATTGTCTGAGGGTTGTCATTAGAGGGCTCTGCCACAATACGGCGTTTCGAAACTATTAAAGAGGTCATTTAAGTGGAGTTATTTTCACTAAAACGTCGGACTCAGAGCGACAGTGAATTATTGCCCGGCTGCTTAAAAGAACCTCGTTTGGTTAGTTCACAATTTTTAAGGCTGTTAAATGAGAGCGGCTAGTTTTTGAGTCAATCTCAACGGTCGTCATAAAATGGACAAATTTACTGAACACTGCACAGCTAAAATACCTAATGCATTGACTTCAAAATAAATAAAACATTTGCGATTTAAAACCAAAATACATTTCTCATTTGTTAACATTTTTATGGCATCAAGAACTTGAGTAGGTGTTTACAGCCGTACAAACAAAACTGTCATTTTCTCAGCGATTCTCCTATTTACGCACAAAAATATTGTTGTAACGACGTGCTTCGAGTAGTACAACAGTCGATAAACGTTTGAGAAGTGTTTTTATG